GGGGGAGGGAGGGTGGAAGGTAGCAAGATGGACGGAAAGGGATGCAAGGCCGGATGCGGCGGAAAGAAAATTATGGAGACATTGCATGCGCTCACCGCGGTGGTGCGCTGGGTGTGTGTTTTTTAAATGAAAGAGGCAAATTTCACATTCGCAAAGACCACAGACTCCCTAAGTGCCAAAAAGTGCCTCCAGTTCATCGTTGAGTACTTTTTGACCTGTGCGACATGAACCAACCCCCCCCCCAATTGAAGTAGGTCGTCGATTTGAGAAAACAACAAGAGAGGGCAAATTTAAATCCTTGAAATTGCAGCGGCAGAAAGGAGGGGAGAAAATCAGAAAAGTTAATTCCTTTAATTTTCACGGCAAACGTATTAAGTGGTGGTTGGACTAACTAGACGCAAAGTCATAAAATGCAATTCATTTATCGGTTTATTCCCTAGCATGCGGATATAGCGTTATACTTAGATAACGGCTTATCGTTGCCTTTGTTGATGAGGTTTTAAGGAAATTGAAAAAATAATTTTGAAATAGAATGGAAGTTCTTGAAAAACAATAATATCGATTGGCAGAATAGGTAAAAAACACTATTTCGTTCTCTAAACCAATATGAGAAATATTAATTAAAATAAAACTACAAAGTAGAGCCATCTTAAAACGGGTGATAAATATAGATTCTAGACTCTTTAAATGTGCATGACAAAGTGCCATCAACCTTCCCACTTTGGGGGGAGGGGTGACTAAGCCAACCCACTTTTTCCTTGACATAAACTTCAGGGACTAACAGTCTGCTGAGTCCATTCATTTGTCGTACCTTCTTTGTTTAAACGTTTCTTCATTGAATATTGATTGATTTTCATCAGTCGATTAAGAGACATGAAACATTAAGTTTGCATCAGGCATATAAAGTATTTATTTAATCAATTAGTCATCTGGTCTGATAGTTACATGAAAATGATAATAGATTTTGCATAGGCATTTCTACTGAACATAGCGCAAAAAATGAGCAACTACTGTAGACAAGGGTGACCTAAGTTCAAAGGAAGCTGATTCGGAGTGAAAGGTAGTTTTAACAGGTAGAAGATGAAAATTGAAAACGGGAAAAAGGGAAAAGACCCGAAGAAGAGAAATGAAAAGTATAAACAAAAAAGAAGGAAAAATTGAAAGAATCTACTCTGGCCAAAGCCAACTTCATGGCAGTTCCTAAATATAAGCAAAACAATAGAGAGGCAGGCTCAGTGATTTTAGAAACAACTCCTTTACCCATTTTCAATATTCAGGTTTGCCTACTTCAGTAATCCCCGGTCTGAACGAATGACTCAGTGCCATTGAGCGTATGCTGCGGTCTGGTGAGAGGAAGAGAGAGAGGGTGAGAGAGAGAGAGAGAGTCAACTTATCTGATTCAGACATGTTGCTCAGGCGTAAAATCTTGAGGCAAGGGGTGTCTGTACACTCCAGTTGCAACCAACCGGAACAAATGAAAGTACGCAATTGTTAGTGAGTAAGTTTAAACAACTTGTACTTTTTTATAGAAATGTCTTGAAGCAGTTATATGGATTTGCCAATCAAATCAACTGGTTCGCAAATTTGAAATATTTCGAAAACGAATTCACCAGGAATCTAGGAATCAAGTGGTGAAAATTGAGGTAAAGGTTTTTTTGAAAACCATTAAAACTTATTAAAAAGGTTACCTTACTACTACTACTAATAATATTATTTGAAATTAGTGACTTCAATATTGCATATAATTTAGAAACTCCATAATAAATTCAATTTAAAAAAAGGCAATGAATTCCTATTGAAAATGATTCTACTAACATTTAACTGAATAAGGCTGAAAACAACTTTCTTTTCACTGGTTTTCTCCTGCAAAGATTACGTGCTGTGCCTTATTAGCGATTTCTCGATGAATTTGATTGCCAGAAATTTGCTTAACGTCATTCTCAAAATCTTCAAGACCAGCGAACTTCTATTAACGCAAGCATTATCGAAAAAGGGTTTTAACTCGAGAAAATCGAGCTGTAACGCATTAACTGACACGACTTGTCAATCATTATTAATAATTATCAATCAAAATTAGGACAAACTCAGTGTCCTATTTAGTGTAGCCTATTGGGTAAAAAGTGTCAACATACCTGAGAAGTTAAGCTATCATTTCCATTTCCATCACGGGCTTTCAGCAACAGCTTATAGCTTTGTGGTTGAGATGGACGTTTCAGAGCGCAAAGAACACTCGGGATCTCCTCAAGTAGACCAAACATTCCATCGAATGTGTTTTCCAATTCGAGAGTGCAGCAGAATTCCCTACTTGCAGGCTCACAGTCCTTATCAATAACCTTGTAGGGAATCGGTTCACAGAATCTTCTCTGATTTTTACCTGCTGTCTGATTGCTTCCAGCTACAGGAAGTTGTTCCCACGCGAAAATGATATGTTTTCTATGAGGTGCGATTGGAATGAATTCCGGTCGGTTATCGTTCACATTTAGAACATTGATGATGACACTGGCTTCCGTTTGATAAACGGAATTAGAAGGAGGTCGACCTGGGATAGTTGGATTTACCAAGGGAGCATCATTCTCTGCAACCACTGTCAAGGAAATTGAAGACTGCTTTTCGTAGTCAACAGGACGACGCATGCTCATTTGACCTGTGGTGCGGTCGATATCCACAAGAAAGAGATCCTCAGGACGACCACGTAGAGAAAACCGCACTTTCCGATTAGCCTCGGTTCGATCGGCATCACGCACGAAGACTTGGCCTACTGCCATTCCAACTGGTGCATTCTCTTCAATCTAAAACCAAAAAAAGATAAGGTAAATAAAAAATGAAACCTACGAGTTGGTGCCTAAAGATGGAGGTTTTTTGTCTGTAATTCCTTCTTTAGCAAGTCAGAAACAAGCGTACTGTCCTCCATTCAACTTATTTTATTATTTGTGGGTTTCAGTCAAATTTGTATTTTGTATACCTTAGAAATTCACATTTATCTATCTTCCAGAATATAGCGACTTGGTTTCATTTATATTTAGACGCTGAATCATAGTGTAAATGGATAGGTATTAGTAGCTTAATAAAAGGCTACTGAGGAAGGACTGCAAAATATTCTTTTGAAAAACCAACACCGAACACATCTATTTTTTTATCAAGGCGTCTAGATCCACTCTCACCTGTTAACCGAATGAAAAAAGTTGAACACAAAATATATATCACTGGGTATGAGACTTTGCAAGAGTTGGATATGAGCTATATTTTCGAGTGTCAAGGGTCTTCCTACCAGATTATTTGGATTTGTTAACATTTACCTGCCCACTCGTATAATCGATTTGATTATCTAATTGGACTTTTAGTTAGAGACCTAGTAACTCCTTATATGCAACGTCCTTTCTGCAAAAGTTTGAAGAGTCATTGAGCAGCTGATGTCCTGGCAATAAGAACTCAAATAGAAATAATGACACATTAGTACCAGAAGAAAGCACAGAGGTTTCTATCCTTGTGGTACTGTTCTCCATACAAAGAAGATCTGATTTGCATGCGCATGTTTCTACCCTATCAATACCATTTTTGAACCCGAAACCGAAACATCTACCATCGTGTGAATAACACGTGTACATTCTACTCGCATTCCTTTTGCGTAAGCGAGTGATAATCCCACTTGATTAATGTTGTCTTGGCTACATTACAAGAGAGTTTTTGTTGGGCCACCAATGAAAGCTGACAAGAAAGCATCGAACACTTGTTTTACAAGAATAAAAACTACGATTTTCAGGAATATAATTGGACTGCTTAAACATACATCAATCGCAAAAAAGACCCAAAACTAAACTTAGTAAAGACGCTTATATCATGGTGAATAATCTCGTTGACAAAATTATCGCCACTCAAGCTTAGACACCGAGATTTAATTAAATTAGAAGAATGAGAAATGGTATCTAGGAGGTACCTTCTTCGGAATTCCTTCTTAAAACTTTCGTTTATTTATTTATCGGTATTGATTCTGGAAATTAAATTTTGTTACGCCAATACGTGCCCATTTAGGTCAAACTTGTATAAAAATTTCCTAGGGTGGAAAGTTAATTTAATGAGGCCTCCTTGTGTTGAGAAGCGTTTGCAGTTGAGCTTAATCAGCGCGGTTGTCTGTTGCGTTCACCAGCAGTGAACCAATGTGCATCGAATCCATTCCACAGTGCCTCAGTATTCTATTCCAAAATTCTAGTGTCTTGCATCCTCAAAGATTAAAAAAATTGCATTGATCATTTCTTTATTTACCAGAATTATTGAAAATTCTACCCACTTCTTGGCTCAGTGGTCAATTTCAAACCCCACGATTCGGGTTATCTTTGTACTTGCGTTTTCAGAGTTTGGATGCAAGGAAAACTTCAATGGGCTCTTTATTAAATGTACAGGATTGCTGTTTGCCTATCCTATTTGTCCGTTCTAACGTTTCCAACTGACTCCAAACTAGGATGAAAACTAGTAAAAGCGTAGTCTTCGGAATGATCCCTGTCATTATAACGTAGTTCTCCAGGAAGTTTTGGAGTTTGCGTGATAATGAAACGGAAATCTCAATAATTGGAATTGAGGCATTTGCTAATTTTTAGCATTGCAATTACAAAATATTTTCTCATTTTCAAGAAGGCAAGATTTAATGTTTATGAGGGTCTAAATTGTTCAACGAAAAAGGTCAAAAGTAATTGGACTTCGGATGTCAATATACCGCCTCAAACGGTTGCTTAAAGCCCACTTGTTCTTAAACTAAAAAGAAGGCGAAAATGTTCTCATTTTGGAGTATGATGTGGAGAAAAAAGTACTGCTCCTTCTCTCCAAGGCTTTTTTCTCTAACGTCAAAATCCTACAAAGGCCATTTTGTTGTCAAAAGCACAACCAAATTTCAAGGACGAAATTAACAGGGTCATTTTCTAATAAGGTTATAAGAAGATTAATTTAATACACCAACATCAGATATAATTAACTTTCTTTACCTCTCCAAGTCAAATTCCTACATATAACGATAATACTACTTCATTTATCATACTTAATTAATGAAAGCTTTATTAAAGCTTTATATTCACTTCCACCTTTCGCTAATACAAGTACAGCCCTAAGCTAATCACAATTCTTCTCTGAAAACACGGTATCTAACCCGCTTAATTTAAACATGATTGTACTAAACTGCGACAATTTTTAGGGCAAAAGCTTGTCGAATTATCACCTACTTTCTCTTTATGCACTTTCTAAACAATTTTGGCAGAGTCCTTTGTGATAAGCAATTCACCACAAAAAGCAACTGAACGAATATGCCTGTGAAACAATGGGGACTTTGGAGCGCAAGGAAGAGAGAGAGGAGAGGAGTTAGAATAATGAAATTTTAATTAGCCTGTCGGTCTTTTTCATCTTCAGAATAAAACAAGATGCTTGCGGATTTGTAATTTCCTCACACCCACAGCGCAAGAGAGGCACACGCTTATGAACAACCTGGAAGGCAGGCAGGCAGGCAAGTTGAATGAATAAATGTCGTGACCATCTTCATGAAGTTATTTCCCCACCCCACCCCACCCCACCCCCCATCCCTCCTCCACCTCCTTTTAAAACACGCTAGTTAACATCTCAAGAACGATAATCCATGCGTCGAAAAAAGCTTGAAAGAAATATGAATTTGCTCGAAACTATTGGGTTTTGGTAAATTTTAAAAAAATAGCATAAAATATATATAATTTTTAAGATCAAGTAGGCTCATCCTGCTTTCTCGGTGTTTGGAAAATAAATTAATTTAAATGGCATAACTGAATATAAACAATAATCATTAGATAATTAAACATGGAAGAGAATCAATACTTCTAGCAAATAAGTGAATGTCTAGCAATCGGAAATTTGAGTTCTCTTTAGTCACTTATTGACAGATTTTAGGTGCTTTTCACCAACAAAAATCAGTGAACAATTTTCGCAATGAGATACTGTGCTACATTGATGACTCTAAAAAATAATTGTCCGAACTTTTCTAAATTAATGCCACTTTTCTACTTAGCGTTTAATTAAACTCAAAGTAGTTTACAGATAGTGTTGATGGCATAAATTATAAATGTTAATTCTGAAAATGAGTACAAATTATGCAATAGAATCATAATTCCCCTAAAAACCAACAATCAGTGTAAGAAATTTTGGAGGCAATTGCTGCAAGGCTTAATTTAAAATATATATTTAAGGCAGTACGGTCAATGCGATTAATTAAGATTTCACTTTAACCTTTTTTCAAAAATGAATTTCTTTTCTATTGTTACCACATATTCTGAAACTTTTAAATTAATCTAAAATTAGTAACTATTTAATTCTCTATGCCAATTTTTTAAAGCTATTAGAGAATAATAATAAATAACTTATAACTTACAAGAAATCGAAATTCGTAAAGCAAATTTTCGAACCATTTAAAAGCCCCCTATCTCTTTGCATTCATTTAAATCAACTTAAAATAAATACAAATATATTGTCGTAAACTGGCCTCAAAATTATAATGATAGTGTTCGAAAGCTGGAGGATTATCGTTGATATCATCAACGAAGATATTCATCAGAGCAGAACTTGATCGCCTTTCAGGAACTCCATCGTCAGTAGCTACCACGTAGAATACGAATTTTCTGCCTTCCCCTGAAGAATCATCTACTTGTTCTTCAGCATCCAGAGCTGGAACAGTCCACAATCTACCCGATCTCGGATCAATACGAAAGTATCCAACATCAGAAGTCATCCTGGTGGAATTTTTACTGCCATCAACAGCCGATGCTTCTTTGAGTGAGAAGGTGATATGCGCGTTTCGACCTGTGTCTGCATCCACGACCCGAATCGCTGGAGATGGAGTCAAGTGAATCACTGGAGAGTTGGACTCATTCTCTCGAACATGTCCTTGATAAACTGAGTGCTCAAATTTTGGTGTCTCGTCGTTTATGTCGCTGATACTAACATGGAGAGTGGCGTTTCGTATTAGGGGTTTTAAGGAGTCATTGTCGGTGCACCTTATTGTTACCTAGAATAATTAAATAACTCGAGGTTAGCCTGAATGACGCTTGGATGAGACGATGAGTTAAGTATCTCTAAATAAGAAAGCTATAAAGGAGAATCTTAAAATCTTGAAGACTCATTTAATGTAAAGTAACTTAGATCTGATAACTCACTTTTTCAAAATATTCTCCTAGCATGTGCAAGGCATAATTTCTCTTTCTAAATCCCAACATTAATACCGTAGTAGCTGAATGAATAAAAACAGAAGGCTTACAATCTTCTTTAAACAACAACATTAAGTCTTAATTTTTCGCATTTGCTCATTTGAAATTCACGTTTCCAACAGGTCAACATTTCCTTTTTACCAAGCACCTTTATGCCCCGAGTTATCTTGAATAAATAAATAAATGGGTTGTATGGTGTTTTGGGCTATTGGCCAGCGATTTTTTCTGTTCTACTGGCAGTAGTAGTCATTCAGAAATGCGTGTTACTCGCCACATGAGAAAAAGAACTGAACACGACTTTCTGTGACACAGATACTTTTTTCCCTCCAAGAAAACAGAGGTAAAGGCGTAGGTGAGACCGAGCAACTTCGTGGCACTAGGAAGCTGAAAGTGCCTTGTTATGGGGAATTGGTAATATTTTGCATTTTGAGCAAAATTGGAATTATCGATTAGTAGAAGTGAGAAAAAATATCTCACATATTAAGATAATTACATTGGAGTAAAATAAATATTCAATAAATTGCCTCTAAGATAATACCAAAGCTAATAAAATAGGATATATTTATTTCTACCTAAAATAATAAAAAGGAGGCATTTCACTATTGCATAAAATTAGCATAAAGTAGATATTCAGCCTTTTTTGACTATTTACTACCAACTAAAGTTTCAACAAGTATGAAATATGATTGTATGCAATGATTGTGACATGTTAAGAACTTGCGCCTAAAACATTCAATAGGCAAATAGTAGTAAATATTTCAAAATTCAGGCAATTTAATTGTTGAAACTTAAAGGAACAATTCGACATAACAGTGATTGGGTTGATGAGGCTAACATGGATAATCAAAACTGGATATCAAAATTAAGTCACATCCTATGAACTCTCTGTTCTCTAGGTTTCAATAATTAGAGCCAAAAAATTTCATTTCATGAAAGAGAACTCCTGTATGGGAAATTTTGGCATACTCCTTTACGACAATTAGTTGCGACTAGTTCAATTGTTCGTAGTATTTAAGAATAAAAATACTCGATTTTAATAACACCTACTAATATTATTATTATTTCAAATGGCAGACTTTATGACATTTATCGTTAGCCCTTAAACTTCAACTACAGCTTTCCCCATGGGTGGAGGGTACATATATAGCAGTTAATTAATAGCGATTTATTAGCTGTCTTCTTTCTTCCCAGTATCTCTGAGTTCCCGTTGTTGTCTTTAGGCAGGACATTAAATCAGGCGGGTATTCCCCATTTCCTCCTGTAGGTTACACTATTTAAACGAAGTTCTGAAGACATTTCTATAATATAAATAAGGAGGGAAATCTTAAGCCAAAGCGAATATCGACATCATTAAGAAATAACCAATCAAATCAAGTATATATGTAATATTGTTTAATTTTATGGATGCCTAGTAGGTCTTGATTCTGACTAAACAGCTAGTCACTACATAAACTAAATTCTGTGAAACACCTTGCCCCCTAATTAGTAATAGCTGCAATTGTAAAAAGAGATAAACAGACTGAGTATTTGAATGCGATAAAAGAAGCTATCCAGAAAGGAGGAAAGTGAAAAGGGAAGTTAAAGGAGGAGGGACGCGTGGACGAAATGAATAATTTAATTCGAATACAGTAGACAGCACATTCGGTCCACCTCCTCCTTCTCCCCCCCCTTTCCCCCCTTTTCCCTTTTCCCCACACCTTTTTCCGTATCCTACCTGCCCTGACAGCATTCAAAGCTCGGAGTCTACGTGTGGGCTTGTGTGGTGACTGCCTGAGTTTGTAGGTATCTCGGTGCTGAGTCGTTGTCTTTTAGATACTGCGATTATTTAAATATTTATAACATTTTGTCTTTGCATATTGCGGGAATGAACAATTTATTGTATTAATACTAGACCTAATAGGGGGCTTTAGGTTACTCAAACCACAGAATAGAAGTACCAAAATGGAAAGATCTGCACCAGTAATTCGACAAACTAATTGGGAGCTCAATAACTAGAATTGTAACGAAATATGAATTAAATAAAAATTCCCCGAAACCACACGTTGTAGTGCGCATAAAATACAATGATATCTACTTATTCTCTTCTTATTCCACGTTTTGATGTTCACTTGTCGATAGATCATATCCTGGTGCTTCTCAAATGCATATATACGGACTGTATTTCATTTTCATATATCAATGTGGGGTGTGCGATAGACTTACCTCCACGTGGTGCACTCTGGGCAACGTATACTCATACGGCAAAAAAGTCTATCAACCGGCAGTTGACTTCTGACTTCAAACTACCATGGCCC